GAATTATTGTGTGAGGAAGCATAAATGCTGTGATGTGTGTGTGTGTGTGTGTGTGTGTGTGTGTGTGTGTGTGTGTGTGTGTGTGTGTGTGTGTGATTCATCACCTCAGACTCATTACAGCAAAACACGTCGGAGACTCTGTAGAAATCTGGATCCAAGTCAGGAATGGCCGGCGCTGGGTTGAATATTGTCTTCACTGCAACAAGAAACCATGCAGCGATCCATGTTATTGACCTCAGTGTCAAACGTCAACATCTACAGGATAACATGCAATCATTAACAAGGCAGAAAAATATAATTGTTCTCCATAATAGACCCTGTTATAGCTGTCAGCCTGCTTTCAGAAGGACTTTTCATAAAGTCCCTCTGTGACACATTTTACAATTGTGTGGCGTTTCTTTTCCATTTCTGAGCCTCACTGCCAAGATCTGGCAATGCCTTAATTAAACTTTCAATGGGAACAAAGGCTAGCAGGCTACCGCTGGGGATTGCTCTCGCAAGCAAAGCTCAAGTGGATCAGCTTCTATAAAAAGACACCTTTTAAACAATTAAATTAGCATTCCCCGAAAAAGAAAAGAAACCCTAGTGAAAAGACCTTATATCCTGTAGCATTTTATGTTACGCCCTTAACTGCAGTTCCAGCAATGTATGTACGAAATGGATTCAGCACGAGATATACATTGAACCCCACATATGTGTGTCAGTGTGTGGGTGAGATGAGTTGTGACCCTTTGAGTGTGTTAAGGAGCACAAGCGAGGGAGAGAGCGAGAGTGTTTTTGTCAGGAGTAATCCTCTGTACGTGTTGCACATCACTGTCTGATGCATATTCATGAGCGAGGAGCATTAATGCATCTAATACCGTGATTTCTGTGTATGTGCGAGGATAAGCCCAGCTTGACGAAGCGATTAATTCCGATATCTCTGTGTACAAAATAAAGCCTCATGCAAGCGTGTGCGTCTGAGGGAAATATATGTTCAGCGTTGGTGACATCAAAGTCTGTTGTGCTAAAGTGTGTGCCTAGTTGCTGCTTCTGTGTGTGTTTGCGTGGGCACATAAGAGAGCAGCTGCGTGGGTTTGCGCAGGGCTTTGGCCACCTGGCGCTTTGAGGTGGATGCTGGGCTGCTCGCGAGTAAAAGTGGAAATAATGTCTCCATCTCTTTTTCAACTCACTCATACTGTACTGCAAATATGCCCATGTGAGCCAAGGCCATGTCACAGATAAGAGACACCGGGCTCTTTGCGACTCCCCTCTTTTCTCTCTCTCTCTCTCTCTCTCAACTCAATTGCACCTCAGCTTCCGTGAATTTGGGATCCAAGTTAAGTGCGAGATTTGCGCCTCCATTTTGCGTTATAGAAAGCAGCTTGTCATCTGTCAGCAGAAAAATTTTAAATAGATTTCTTTTGGTTATTATTGATATAAGGATTATGTAAAAGTGATGCCTAACAACAAACTGAAAATCTCTTTTCAGACACCTCATGTTACAGTAGAACCACATGTTGACAGTCCCAACCCTGGTGATGAATTCACAGGGCACAAGCCCAGGAAAAATGTTCTGTTTCTTCTTTTCTCATGCCGTGCCTTCAGGCTTGGGATCTGTGGATCTGTGGACTCTTTAAGCCCACCACTAGCTTTCCACACGAGTGAAATTTGGCTAAATTTGAAACAGGAGTTCAAGAGTTCTGTGCCCATGGTAAAAAAAAGGGTCCATGGTGTGGAAGCTGCCTGGACAAGACAGAGAAGGTGATCTTGAATGGGGGGGTCAGTCACATTAAATCAGCTAGCTTTTTGTTCATACCTCACATGCTTCAAAGTAAAAAGGTAAAAAAATTGCACTGTTCAAAATTTTATGGTTCAGTATAAAGAAATGTATTCATGAAATTTATTCTGAACTTGTGTTTTAACCATAGATTCTCCTTACAAGATGGAAATAACTTGTGGCTCTGAAAAGCCCAGCCACAGTTTAACTCATTTGGGCTGAATGTTGCTTTCACAGTGGTCAGTGTGAATTCACAGCACTCGTAGAAGACCAGTGAGTTTGGGGAAAAAAAGCTTCTAGGTCTGAAAAGCAGCGTGGATGTGCCTTAAACCTGCATTTATTCTAATGGCCAGTAGGGGGTGATTCCTGTGGTTGCAAAAAAAGCCCAATTGTTTGAAAGTCTTTGAAACAATGGTCCTAATTCCCACCTGATTTATTATCTGAGTAACATTTTATGGTCTCAATTAATAATTTCATGTCTTATAAAATACAACATGTTGTTAATTTTGTAAATCTTGATCCAGTGTAGAGGAAAAAAAGATAAAACAGGGTTGAACATGGCTACTTCCACGACGGCAGTTACGAAAATGCTCAATGGCTGACAACAACGGGCGGCAATATCCAACATCTTTTGTATACAGTATATGGTTTTAATTTAAATTGTGTTCATTTTTAACCCAATGAAATAAAGCTTTTAATGTGCCTCTTCTCTTACCCAAAAGGTGTTCCTCAAAAATGTCATTTTCTTTGCAAAACTGTACAAACCATCTTGAAAGCCTCGATATTTAAACTTACTTGTTTACATTCTAACACATTAAATTCTTATCCCTCCTACTCTTTTTAACAACTCACTCCTTCTCCTGTCACATTTTTTCTCAGTGCTCCCCAGAAGCTCACATGCACACTGAGCGAATGACTGCAATTAGGCACAGCAACACAAAACCTTTTGCTAATTATGGTATGTAAAACTTGATTATCCTGTTAATTGGAGTGAGTGTCACAACATATGTGGAGAACTTGGGCGGCATTAACAGCCCGCTTTTAGTCACAACATGAAGTGAAGCGCTAACCTTGCACTGTATGCCGTGTAAACAGGATAAATGGAGAAAGTATCACTGAATCAAGAAGGCTTACTCATGCTGTTGTCTTATTCAGGCTATTGTCAGTAATCATATTATTATTTGTAGCCAGAACAGCTAGAAAGCACAAAGTCTTCTCCTTGGCCTCATTTAGTATACATGCAATACACAATTTGAAGCACGGAAGCTTCCCCATATGCAGCTTGAGTGCCATTTCTAATATACTGATGCATAAAGGAATTGGCCTCACTGATGCACTGAGCTCTAAACGTCACATGAACCAGTGTCTGTGTCTCAGGTTGCTTTGTTTTGCTCTCCAGGTGTTAGTGAAATCACACAAACACACACGCACAAATGCTCACAGCTGCTGGGACAGATGTGGTAACACTGGGATGTGTGCACACTGAGTCACGTCTGGCAGAAAACTGTGTGCGTGTGTGTCATGACTGTGGGGTTTTTATGCTGGCAGGTTCAAAGTCTGGTCGCACATGTGGCGGCTGAAAGAGCAGCTGGAGCCGCTTCAGACAGTTTGAGAATACAGTGGGAAAGGTGGACGGGAAAACAAAAGCAGAGAGAAAATAGACAGAGATCACTCACACACTCTGACATGCATGCACGCACTCGCACGCACACACACAGAAACACACACACACACAAAAAGAAATGAGTCACCAGCAAGTGTGTGAAAGGGCTTTAAGAGGCTCTAATTGCATCTGGTGAGAAATAAAATAGCAGCTTCTTGCTCAGATAAGGAAGAGGGGGAGGAAGACGGGTGAAAACGGAAGAAGAAAGCACAAGTGGAACTACACTACTCCCACCATTTCCTCCCTTCTCAGAACTAATTTATTGCCATTAACTTCCCAATATTAAATGTTAGGTGGCAATAAATTACAAATACACACATTTTCCCCTTAAATAAAAGGAAAATCTTCTTTTGAGGTTATCTTAACAAGTGTTTCTAAGAGCTGGCATCTACTGTATGTGTGGCTCCACTTGATGGTGACATTTGCGTAATTTGAGCGGCGCTTCACCCCCGCTGCCAAACCCATTAACACCCAGTCTCTCCAGAGAACTCCATTTACGCAATGCTCCGGCACGGCGACGTCGAGGTGGCATCTATGCCAAGCATCTTCACTCGCCTTGCCTCTCTTCTGGCGCCACATGCTGAGCCTAATCCCGTGGTACGGTCCATGCACCGAGGAAGGGGGGCTCAGGGAGAGAGGGTGGCGCTCGGCAAGGCCATCTGGGTATCCCATCTGCAACACGGCGATGGCTGCGACTCGTTCGTTCTGGCAGCCTGCAGCGAGCGATTATGGACGACAGGCCCTGATGACAGGAGCGAGAGGCTCCCCAGACGTCTCGAATGACGCGGACCGCTGCTAATAATAGGATGCTGTTAAAGATGATTAGCTCGGTAACCTGGTTATGAAAGAAAGGTGGAGGGAGGGAGGGAGGGAGAGAGGGAGGGCGGTGGCCTAAAATAGGGCTTTTGTCGATGCCGGACAGCACGAAACCTGCTCTACAAATGTGTGTGCGCATGCGATGGTGAATGTAGATTGGGGGAAGCAGCAGCGACTCTGGTGAAAAGATGCTTTTGTCAAGTTCTCATGCTCAACTTGCTAAAGTGATAAAAGTCAGTGGGAAGCCTCTTTCTAAGGAGAGATTGTGGGATACAAACAGCAAAGTCACATGACAGATTTGGAAGGATTTGAGCTGTCTCTACTGTGTTTTTCTAGCCTACAAAGAAGACATTGTGCAACAGATTATCAAGCCAAAGCGATGATCTAAAGGTACATAAAGGATTGATTAAACCACATTTAAAACGAGATTATGCAACTGTGCTGTGAGGTAATTACTTGAGCTTCATAAATCAGTTGCTTTAGAGTTCCCTTAAAGAAAGGGAAACGTTTGAAACTATTACCTCTCAACCACATGTGAAGGCAAAAAAGTTTCTGTTTTGAAAAAAAGCCCTTGAGAATGAGACAAAAAGTCATCATAGACAGAGCTGAATACTAGTGGAAAAGATTCAAATGGTTTTGCTTGCAATACTTTCCTCCCCAGTTCTGATATCATAATTGTGTAGGAGAAGGGGATTTCAGATAGTGTCTAACTATCCACAACAAGCCAAAGCACAGACAGAAAGGGAGAGGAATGGGAAGAAATAACAGACACGTCTTCCGGTGAGTCACGATATGAGGTCCATTTTTGTTTTTCCATGTTTTTGTCATAGAATATAGCGTTATCACAAATGACTACCAGTCATAAAATCAGCATGAATGCTAAGTAGAGTCAGTGACATCTATCGCTGTGGAACAAGCGAGTTAAATCTTATATTTCCATCCATCCATTCCTGCATTCATATATCTCCACCTTCTCTGCATCACGGGTGGGGGGTTAAGAACCTATCCCAGCAGTCATAAAATTGAAAAATTCAGACAATTTTCATATTCAGCAGTTTTTAGTCTTTAACAGCTATTACATTTTTGGGGCACTCTTTGGGAACCAGTCGATGTAATTTTAAAGTCAAGCTCAATAATTGTCATGTCTTTGTGGTCATAATGCTCTAAATCCTTTCAGTTGTTGAAAAGTCTGGATGCAACTGGACTCTTGCTACGGAGCCCTGCTGCTGGATAATCTTTTGGCATTTTCCTGCTGAAAGACACGGTGGCTCAGTGGTTAACACTGTTGAAAGCTCTGCAGGGCTGTAACTAGAAAGCTCTCAGTTACAACTAATTTTTATACACAACAACAGAAAGTGAAGATATATGTCATCGCTGCCTCTGCTTGCTACTTCTGAGACTCAAATGCGTGTGGGGCCCATTTCTGTAATATCTTAGCTTCCTTTTGTAACCAGGAAAATTTTTCCTCTGGGTTGCGGTCTGTTTAAAATCACAGCAGCTGGAACAGATTCTAATAATAAACAATGAGAGCAACTAATTATTACTACCTGACTAAATTTTCTCCCCTTTTTTTTCTCCAATCTTTTTTTTTTCCAGTGAATGCATGAAAGGAGGCTTGTGTGAAACCTCAGCTTAGCCAAGTATGACCAGAGGCTCAACATGGTCATGAATGAGGATTAGGACAGAAGCGGTTATATAGTCATATTTTTGGCAAAATTATGAAGGTTTGGAACATAGCGAGCACACAGATGGCCTCCGTGAAGTGGATTGGATTGCACAAGTAGTTTGAGAAGATTCCACAGACATTTTGATATTTCTTTGGACTACCAGGATCTATTCTAACAACATGAGTCCACAATAACCACACCCTCTGTTTTTTGTTTTGGGGAGAGGTTTTATGACTATTGTGTTACTATAGGTTTACTCTTTGTTCTGTATGGATACATCATACTGAGTAAACATGTACTGAGGATTTCCAAATCTTTGAAATCTCAGCATGCAAAAGGTGCTCGCTAAATGATTTACTTTCTGACTTCAGAAACATGTGAGGAGGATATACTGGCTCACCTTTGTTGTCGCGAGCCATGCACATCGCCTGCAGGGACGTCTGTGGACTGATCTCCAGCTGGCATACCAGGACTTTTGTGTGGCTGATGGCTGGGAGAGCTTCCTGTAGCTCCTCTGCACCCAGCAGCATGTTGGCACCGGCCACAATTACAATGGCATTCTCACCTGTCCGTGAACGAACATAGAGACATGTGAGACTCCACTGGAATTTTCAAAATCATCAATATGCCATGACATGAGAAGAATGAAATGTAAATTTCAGTTTTTAAACTTTGGCCTACAAAGACAGGAAATATTTCTGTTTTCTAAGCAGCAATGATTTTCCACCGCAGGAACTTCTCCCTGAGACTAGGATGCTTTGGAGTGTATTTCAAGACAAATATATAAATATAGATACTGCCCTGGTTGCTGCTATCAGTTGGAAATAAGCATCAAAACATCTACCACATTGCTCAGGTGTATCTGAGCTTTCTAATGCATGTATTCCTTTGGAGGCACTGTTCTCTACATAGTTAAAAATGATAATAATTCACAGATTTTTTTCATTACTTTTCAACCACCTGAAATAAGATCCAGTTACATTTAAAATGTAAGTTTTATCTAAATATTTATTTTAACAGTTCAAACTGAACTTTGAAGCAAAGTGTGAGACCATTAGCAAACAGGAGAAATAGGTTTCTGACATATTTGAGTAGACTTCCATATGAAGACCCTATTTTTTCTTTCAAGCAGCAGTTTCCAAAGCTGATAGTTAACACTAAGTTACCAAAAACTTCAGTTGCTTTAATGGCCACTTGAGGCTGTCTATAAAAGTGTGTGAAATTAGTGAATTTTATTATGTACAAAATAGTTGGTATGTATGTGTTTGTTACACCTGCACAGTTTATGAATGAAACATGCTAACCAATAATTTGGGAGGCCACTGTCTCATCCACAGATAGTCATTCGTGGCTCAAAAACCAACATGGCAAAGGCTAAAAGACTAATGTTGAGGTTTAAAACCAGTGGGAGAATTCACAGTGGTTATGTCCATGATTTTTATCACACTTTTTTTTAATTGAATCTGAAATTCACTCAGTCAAATTATGCTGATTGGTGAGCGACAGCTGGACACCACATACCAGACAGTTACAGCAGTTAGCTGGTTTGATTTTACTTGACAGCTCACACCCTTTTTAGAGTGAGTTTCAGTTTCTTCCTTCTGGAAAGGCTGAGTGTAGAACAACACAGTGTAAAAATAACTTTGTTTCAGCAGACATCATTCAGAGGAACAAATCTTAGCTTGTACATCTTGTATGATTTCATTTTTTGGCAGAGTGTTGTATTTTATTTCTGTCTGTGTTTTCAAAATTGTGCATGTAAGGACAGATGACTCAACTCTGCAAACCAAATCTATCTACCGAAACAAATAAAGTAACATGAATCTCAGTAGTATCAGTTCTATAATAAAATTTTCCAAATTAATATTATAATTCTGTCTATGTAATATAGCCCAATGTCTTGTCAGTAAAAGTGTAAGGATAGTCAAAGAAAGTATATCCTAGTGTAGCATGTAACTGTAAAATACTGTAAAACAACTTCTTACTTGTGAAATTTTATTCCCTGTTCCCTTTCTTGTAGTGTTCCCTTCATTGGAATATCCAAAAGCAGAACAGAGTTTGTCATTTAATATAAGAATGACGCAAAACCCATACTCAGTTCCCTGAACAAGACGGCAGCAATAGAGATGTGCCATGTATGGGATTTCTAGGAACTAAAATAAGTTAAAGGGAAATTGTTTGTCTTTGCGCCGGAAATGGCCATTTTTTCATTTGGCCAAGTCTATGAACTTTAGGAACCCCACTGAGGCATTTTAGACAGTCCATGCGAGTCATTTGGTTAATCCATATTAAATTTTAAAACAGCGAGACTGTAAGAAAGCCGGGGTGGTAGAGAAAGACTGAACATGAATAAATGAGAGGACTAGCGTTAACTACAACAAAGGAATTGGAAAAATAATCTTATTTTCTCACTTTTCGCAGTGGACTTATTAAGTCCCTAAGCGTGAGTCTTTTAGGCTGTGTGTAAATGGAAACAAACAACAGTATGAAGTTAACATAATTTCCTTAGGGATTCTGAACCTGTTATTTCCTTGAAAAAAAAAATATCTACGAGTAAAAAACATGTAACAAGCAAAAACTTTGGTGCAAAAGCACATTTGATGTGATGGTCAAGAGGTAAAATAGTTTTAAATTATAATCTTTAATAAATAATTAATTGTATTATAGTTTTGTATTATATGTACGTTTTTATTTTCTTTTGATTAATAATAATTTTTTAATATTTTTAATATTAAAAAATCGAATTTCTACATATTTTTTAAAATAAAAAAAATTAAAAAAATACACATTGAGACAGCGTGAGGGTAGGGTTTGGGAGATCACCAATGGTGACTTAAATCTCACAGGATGAAACACAAACTAAAGAATTTCATGTGATAATATTAAAGTATGCTATAATCTCTAAAAATTATGTTGAATCTTATTTTTTTTTAAATGATTGAATTAAGTGATCAAAGATATCATGATGATATTCATCCATCCACCTATTTTCTACCACTTGTCTGTGTAATGGGGACAACGGTCTAAGCAGAGATGCCTAAGGCAGACACCACGGCATCAGCCGAAAAACATAATCTCTATTATTATTATTATTATTATTATTATTATTATTATTATTATTATTATTAAAAATGATATATTATTAAATTACTATTTTATTTTATATTTTCATATAAAATATTTTATTTTTATTTTATGTAGACAACACTCCATTTACATTAAAACTAAAGGCATTTCCTTGATATTGTTATTTAATTTCGCATCATTTCTAAGTACACTATAATTTGAGGGGGTTTTTTTTGTTTTGTTTTGTTACCTGTTACAAACGTGATCTGCATCTCTGATATTCGGTTGTTTTTTTAAAAAAAATATTTTTATTACTCATCACTTCCGTAAATAGCTAAACGCATGATATTGATTTAATAGACATTTTAAACACTAAAGTGCCACTTTCAGCCTCACCTACTACCTCGCCTCTCATAGATGTTTTTAATATCCTCACCGCTTTCAACAGAAATTGCTCCCCATGTGGAAAGGCTCACAGTTAAACACATAACTGTCCATACATCTTATTGTGTGGACATCACAGATGCATATGTAGTGAAATTCAAGTCTAAAACTGACACCACAGTTTAAAATAACTTTTTTTTTAGTTAATCCCCTTTTTGTGCCAGGGAAACAAAGAAATCTTCCCTATATAAAGTTTTTCATCTCTTCATTGCAAAATATTTGAACTCACAAAATATACATACTGGCCATGAACATTGGTAAAAGGCATCCTTTATCATTTGATATCAGCTGATACATCTTTGCGTTCCTGGTGGATACTCGGGAGGGCTTGACGCTGTTGTTCGTCCAAGTGTTTTTATGACTATAAACAGGTGTTGTAGCAGTAGTGACTCAGTGGGCTGAGCTGTCCTGTGTGTGTATTAAAAAAAAAACAGTGCACTCACAGGCCCGCATGCACTCTAGGCTGTACATAGAGGAGGCCATGCGAGCGAGGCTGTAGGTTAGCGGTAGAATTTACCTGCATCGTCGACAGTGATGGAGGCAGCTCCTGTGACTGCATCAGAGCTCTGCTTCACAAATTCTGCAACAGAGAATGAAAGTATTTGTTTGTTCCTGCAAAATGGAATATTCACCATACATACCTCTGGCAAGTAAAATGTTAAAATAGAAACCCTACCAACTGTCAGAACTCAGAGCAGAACTTCAGTAGCTTCAGTATTAACAAAGCCAAATGATTTAACAATAGGGAGAACTTGCCAGTGTATCCAAAAAACCTTGAAAAGAATTGGCAAAATGCAGACTGAAAAAGGTTGGCTCTGAATGTGAACTTATTGCAATGCACCATGAAAATGGAAACCAATTTGGCACGCAACGTGAAAAACCCTCTTTCTTACCTGTGTGGACGCCGTTGTCCTTGAAATTCTGGATGTAATTGTCTCCAAAGAAGTCTTTTCCAACCTAGAAAAGATTGAAGGCAAAACGATTACAACAAAGAGAATGTCAAGCTGGGTCAGACTTGGTTAGCGGCAACTTTTGAAAAGTGGTATACTCAAATCTCTGTTGGGCTGGATTTTCGTGTGCCCTGCCAGCATACTGGCATGGTGCCGCCGCCGAAGATGTGCAAAAACGAACACACAAAAGTCAACAAACGCACACACGCGCAAACACACGACCAGCTGCGCCAAGCCTTGAAGACACGATAACCCCGCCTTCACGCCTCTTCATGCCCACCTCGCTTTCGTTTTCTTTCCCTCCTGCCCCTCTTCCCCTGATCCGCTCTGGGATGTCCACATCTGTAGCTACTTTGGGTTGTGGAAGGGGTCCCCACCTTGCCCCGAGGCGCTTACTTCGAACCCACGCTTTCCAAAAAACGTGCCAAAATGCGGGCACTTCTAACTGCCTGTGATGATGGGTTGGGATGGTATTGGCTGCTTGGCCCCATTCTCTTTGAAGAGCGGCCTTCCATCTTGGCTGTTTTTGACAAGCCCGGGTGTCTATTTTTGGGTTCTCCCCATGCCCGGAGAGCTCCTCCCGCACTGGGTTGTTATCGATCGGGCCTCTTTGTTCTGACAGAGGTGGGGCTTTGGTGCTTTAGTGCTCAGGTTGAAAGGCCATGCTGAGCTTACTGATTGGAGACTCAGGGTTGCACGATATGGGAATAAGCTTGTTTGAAGGCGCGCAAGTGTAGGTGGGCGTATGCATGTGGTACGGTATTGATCAAGAGAAAATGAAGGATGGAGAGTCGATGGAGTGAAATGACTGAAGTGTGAACGAAGCTAAAAGGTTTTGAAGAGTTGTTAAATAGTTGGTGGGCTTTGGTAGCTGATGGCTGATTATCTGCACTGAGTAAGATGTGGACGAGCCAAAGGGTGGACAAGAAAAAGTGTTTCTTTTTAAAAAGAGAGAACACATATTAATGCTAAAATCCAACAAAAACTCCAAACTTTGACTGGGGTGCCATACCTTGCAGACCATAGCAGTTTTGACTCCAAGTCTGGCAGCCTGTATGCACTGGTTGGCCCCCTTTCCTCCAAAACCGATGAAGAACTTGTGACCATGGATGGTTTCCCCTGCTTTGGGTAGCCTTGGTGCCTTGCTGAGAGAAAACACAGTGTGTAACTACAGTATTTACAAAGAGAAACCCCTCATGGGATTGGGAAAATAAAAAATGAAGGATTCCTCTACTTGAAGGAATGCTTTGGTTGGTTTTTTTTCATCTCTTCATACTGCACATAACAGTTGGAAAACCTTCCATCAAAGTTAGAAAAAATGTTTTGTTTGGCACTGTGAGTGTCAAAATGTGAAGAAAACCCTTCAGGGCTCAAATCCTTCCCTAGTTAAGCTATTTATTTATCACTGCAAAGCGTGCAAAACCACACAAACAAAAGTTTTTTTGTGGAGTCTGCTGAGGATTATATCTTTTGAAGGTCTTTCACTGAGAGGTCAACTTAATGCAAACATTGCTGGAATGAATGGAAACTTGTTTCCTTCAGTGTTTTTTCCCAGTCTTTTTTCAAAAAGAAACTTGCTTTATAGATTTAAAATGTACTTTTGTACCTAGACATTCAGCCAGATGTGCCAATACAAGTGTCTCCAAATTTGCAAATGATGCAACCATTGAATCCCACAGATGTCTCAACTTGACACTGGCTGTGCACGTAACGCCTGAGTCATGAGATTTGGTCAAGTCCAGCCCCTGCCCTCGAGGTTGATATGCCACAGGTGGGTGCCCTCAGGAGGAGCTGTCTGTGCCCTAATTCTTCCAATCACAGAGCCAGAATGGGTAATGAGTAACAGTGCATAGACAGCAGACAGCTTCATGTTGTATGTCAGGACTCTGCGGATTGGCTCTGGGCAGTGTTGGACTGAGGCCAAAGGGTTTGCGGGTGGCAAAATGTTGTCATAAACTTGTTTTCCTCCCTGTTGTTGCTCTTTTTCGTGCCTTTGTGCGCGTTTGTGTGTGTATGTCAGCGTGTTTGTGGCAGGTGTGCTGTTACAGTAAGTTCACTCAATCCCAGGATTTCCAGTAACTGAGAAGCCGGTGGCAAACACTAGAGGTTGTTCTAAATGCTGCTGTTTTTGCACAACCGTGTGAAAACAACTGACATACCCCAGGCTATAACTGGATGTAAGGTCAGTCAGGCTAAAACGTGGTAAGAAGGAAACAGAACAAAGGTTTAACACATAAAACACACACACACACACACACACACACACACACACACACACACACACACACACACACACACACACACACACACATACATCTTTTTTAAAAAGTTTCCCACCTGTGTCAGCACCATGCAACTCTTGAATAAGAACAGCACTGACACTGACACATTTTAATCAAGTGTCAAAAACCCAGAAGAAGAAATCTGAAATGTGATTTTTTTTTTGTGCCTAAAGGCAAAAAAGGCAGAAAGAAAAAAATCACAAAGTCAGCATTACAATACAGAAGCTAGAAAGAAAAGGGAGGCAGTCATGTCATCTGCCATTAAGACAGTTTGTTTTGGTAGCACAGAGGCTCACCGTGAGGTTTCACAGCTCACAGTGGCAAAAGAAAATCCCAGAAACAGTTTGACAGAAAACCACCTCTGAACCGCAATGTGCCATTCAGAGACTTTGTTTTATTTGCATAGATTACCAAACCAAAACACACCTTAAGCCCAGGCAAGCTGTCTCCTGATGTCAGACAGCCAAGCTAACTTGTTGCTTGCAAAACCTTGCAATATCTATGTACCTATATCCATATTTATATAATGTATCACAGATGATAAGGATAAGCAGAAGTGTACAGTTCTACTACTGTTTACATTCAGGGGTGCCATCATTCCTAACTTGATGCTTTGTGAGTCTGCTCTGACTTTCCGAGTGGGAAACCCGAGTTCAGGGGGCGTTCCACAAAATTTCAACTGGGAACATGGAATTTCAGACTAATTCAGGAATGCACCATTAATTTCACACAGTTTTTTTTCCTCCTGGCTCTGTACACTGTCACTGGGAACATTGCCCTTATAAGGTCATCTAAGGCACACAGATGCCCCACCCACCTCCTGTTCAAATGTTGCACATACCAGGGGCAGCCAATCAGAAGACATCTGGCTTAAAGGGAGAGTGACCTTCAAAGGGAGAGGATCTAAAAGGGCTTTTTTCAGACTGGATGAACTGAGGGGCTGTAGCAAGATGCAATAATAGAACAATAAGGATTATTTCGAAGTGTGAATCACTCAAAGCTACTCTAATTAGAACACAGGAATAAAAATAAGGAGCTGGAAGTGAGCAAAAATAAAAGTCCACTCTAAATTCTAGTACCAAAGCAATGCAAGAGTCATCATAGGGTGCTTTAAAACATAATTGAAACTCAGTGATACTGTAGGAGCAGCACCTGGTGACAGTGGTGAGAGAGAAAACTTCTCCTAACAGATGTAACCTATAAAAGAACTAGGCTCTGGAGCCAGTTGGAGCAAGGGGAAATAAAAAGTGTCCAAAGAGGCATTTGTGGAAGACCAGAGTAGCATACAAAATACAGAAATCCCCATAGTTTTATTTAGACAGTTTCATGGAGATGTGATGCAAATATTTACAGAGACCAAGACGTCTAAATGACTGTGAGTCAGCCTCCTTTACAGTGTTTTGTTTTTGCTGTATTACCAGTTGGAATTTCTTAAACTTTGCCCCTGATAAATAACCCCCTATAATTATTCTAAGTTACCAAAAAACTGATATGTATGGTGTGCATGGCAAAACTACAACACAAAACACAACACTTTAAAATAAATGTAATAACTCCATAGCGAAATAGCTGCATTGAAAGCGCATTTTGTGCAAGTCTTACAATAGAGTTACAACAATAATATTTAAAGGGATGGCACAAGATGGTAGAGGCAAATAAAAATGTCAGATTGTAGTAAATAAACAAACATACCAGACTTTTTCTGAATTTTGTTGACTAAAACTTAACATGTTTAAAGCCTGCTACAAAAGTAGTTTTGGTCTCTACAGTTAATTTCTTCCTTCATAAAAAGTCCATGATTGATGGTTTCTTTCAATAACTCGTGCATTTACATTTTATTAAGGTTTGCATTTTTAGGATTAGAGCTACTTTTATTTATCGCTTCGGACTCTGTAAGGCTTCACCTCTGTTAACTAGAGTCACTGAACTGGTCCGCTATACCATGACTGTAGTGTTGGTGCATTTTGGATGCAGTTGCCTGAGAAATAATATTACTTTCTAACTGTACTAACAGATGTCTAATATTTCCAGTTTTGTTGGGAGAAATCTTTGGTTTTTATTAATCCGTTATATAGCACTAATTAACAGGTATCCATGTCTCTCTGTTGACCCTGTGTTGTTGTGTTGAGATGGTGATGGTTACAAAGCTAAAGTCAAAGCTTAAACAGATGGATGACTTAACAGTGGCAACAGGCATCTATAACATACAGTTATTTTTGCAATAATACTGTGGTGTAGCTAGTGAAATGGCTAACATTTCTTGTTGTGTTGAACGGTTTAAAGGCTGTGTGGAAGAGCATTAATCTGCATCCTTCCTACAAAGGTCCCTTATCAATGCCCAAATTTCATTTTTAATCAAAACATTCAGGAAACTGATGTTAGTGACAAAGTGCCAATTTGGCTTTCCAAAAACTGTTAAAAAAATGAATAAATAACTAATGAGCCTAACTATTGTGGATGACGGTCTTACTCCACATTTGGCCGACAGCCACCTGAAGCCGGATGAGTGACAGGTAAGATAAACAGATTTCCAAATTCCTAAATAAACCCACCCACGCCTGTTCAAGCCCAGAGAGACACTTAGCTATTGTTGTCTGCGGTGAGTGTACCAAACAAACAGGGCGGTTATGTGCTAAAGTGCAACCTTAGTGCATTTTCTCCCACGGAACCAAGAGGCCAAAAGCAGGTGTGCAGTGACGTGAAGTGTTTGCTTTCAGGCTGGCCCTCATTTCCCTCTCCCTCCATCTCCATTAAAGTCATTTCTCAGCTGCTGGTGAGCAACAGGGGGGAAGCAGACATGGACAAAAACAAGCTGATATGATGTTTTTGTTTAGATTTTTCTGGGGGGTTTTCTGGGGAAAGTTAGAAATGTCTTTCCAGTTCCAAGCACAACTTCCAAAGTGAACTTGCAAAATAGGATGAGGGAGGTCATGTTTTCATTTTTATTAATTGAAACTTTATTAAACTACAGAACAGTGGATATTGGGTGGTTGTACTAAACATAATAAACATTTTAACTGAAGTGTAATGACCTTCAGCTCTTATTATGACTCAGACAAGTGGTTGTTTTTCCAAGTTCACGCATGGCTCAGAGGATAATATTATGTGCTCATCTTATATAATTCTCCTTGTCCACAAAGGTCCTTTTAGCTGACGTTCCAGTAAATCAGAACAAGGTGAGCAGATTTAACAAAGAACAGGCTGAGTGAGGACAGCATACCTTACATGGACATGGCGAAATGCTCCACTAACAAGAGGTGCAGTGTGTGAGTATACGTGGGTGTTTATATTTGTGTGGTCACACCATTTGTTGGAGTCACATGTGTGATGCCATTTTTTACATGGTGGTCTATATCAGGCTTGGCAAACCAACCATTTCAGAACACGGGAAATACAAATAATAAAATTATCATGTTAGTAATAACCTTTATGATGATTTGCTAGAATGTCTAAAGTTTAGCAATACATATGTTTTTCCTCATCTCATATTCTTAGCTTAAACCTTAAATGTACATCGTTTTATTCCTGTGTAGGCCTTACCCATCATTTCGTTATATTTGGCTTCCAAGAAGCCACACTATTTTAAAGCAAGAACTCTCCAGGGTTTCTGAAGGTCTTTAAGTAATTTGTTACTAGCAGAATATCACAAAAAACATATATGTTGTTCCCATTCCTTTAGTTGTATCTACAGCTACTAAGAACTGAACATTTAGCATACCTCTGCCTGGTGTGCAATGTGTTCTTAAAAAATTCAGGGAAGTGGAGAAGTGGAGGGCATAATAAGTAGCAGTACTAAAAAATATCTACAGCAGATGAACAGTATTGAAAAAATGTTCTCAAGGCCTGACACAAACCTGAGAGAT